AACTAACTAACTTACTAACGTACGTACGACTACGTCACTTACTACCACCACCCTACCCTCCCCCTACCCCTACCTACCTCCTCTCTACTACCTACTACTCTACTATACTCTCTCTCTCTCTCTCTCTCTCTCTCTCTCTCTCTCTCTCGCTTATATATATATATATATACAAGAGCATATTTCTCTAAAACTTGTTAAATCTGAATCAGCTTTCAGTATTGAGATCAACAAATTGAGAAACATTCTCAATGCCCACAATGGCGACTAGGGTTTGATGCTTGAAGTATGAACTTTTAACTTGTAAGTCACAAAAATAAACACTTATGGAACCCGCAGATAAAAGACAGTAGCTGCAAACCTAAAGTTTCGTCATGTCCTCCTCAAATCCTTACTTGCTGGAATCTCTATAAGCTTTATTGAATTGATCTTTGACTCTAATGTCCTCTCAATGACCATATCCACCATTACAAAGATTCTTTGCAGATTGACCCCTTCTTCGTCCTTGGACTCTGTTTTTTTTTGCTTTGTATCTAGAGAGTGTTAGACCAGATGCATGCCCAATCACCTGTAAGCAGAAGGACGAACCCAAATTGAGGGAAAACAAGGACACTGCATTTTCATCAAACACCAGAGCTTTTTTCATACCTGAGGACTGAAATTTGAATCCACTTTTTGGGATTGTAGTTTCACTTCTGCCTTATGAATACACTCCAATGGTAACAAAAAGATATTCTAAACATAGGATTATTTGTATTACTATGGTTTTTGACTTCGAAAAAAACATTAATCATATCGTTTAATGGGCTTCATTCCCAAGCTAGAGTACCCTAATTAACTGCTCTAGGGCAGCCTCCATTCTACGTTGGACAAACCTCGATCTCATATACCTATATTATTTGTCCTAGACATATTTGGATTGTGCTCCCTTCATATTGAGTTCACGATTCCTTTAACTAATGTGTACAAATCTTGATCCCTATCCCACAGATCTTTGTGCATCTCCTGATCCCGTGGTCTCGATCCCAATCTGGGATCTGACCTCGCTCCCAATCCCGGTAACTATGCAAAGAACACTACCACAGCAAGAAGCTACCACATGCCTAGGGAAGCAACACCTCTTGTAGGTAGTTTAGCAAACTGAGGTGTTGATAGGAAAGGTAACAGTATTTTGGGATCTCTATCTATTATGAGCAGTCACTGTTTGTTTCTAGCATACCTCAACATTGACCATATTTATTTTACTTCATTAAATCATCACCAAAAAAGGTCACTACTAGGAAGTAACACTCTCCCCAAGGAACATTTACACAAGCCCTATCAACTCTCACTCTAGAAATGTGATCAAGTGGCTTTACAGAGATGAGTCAGACAAGCCCTACCTTGAGATAACTGGTTGTGCTATCAGAGATAGCCAATTCAATGTAATTTTTTACAATCATTCCCAGAGAAGCAAATTTGGAAGCCCAGAAACCCTCGTAAAGACTGTCATGCCAACTAATGATATGAAACAGGATCTACCTAAAGATATTAAAGTGTAAGCATATCAACTGCCAGTCAGAATCAAAGGCTTTTATATAAAAAGCCAATAAACAAAAACATACACAATTCAGCACCCACCTCTAAAACTTCAACAAGGTCAATGCTGATAAATGGATCTGAAACATAGTGCACCCACATGTTAAGGATCAAAGGAGAGAGAATTGGTTCTAAAGCTGACGATGCAGAACTCCCTGTCAATTCAAAAACACAAACGAACAGCAATTTACATTAAACATACCAGTAAAAGCCATCAGGTATTGCACAATGTACTTATGATCTGGCTCAGAGCCTCAGAACATCATAAATAAGTTGACTCAAATAAACAAAATAGGTCAGACCTGCCTTAATTGCTGCTTGCAGTGTTTCTAACACCAAGTGAAGTGTTTCGTCAGAAGCCTGCAAACGACAAACTTTTCAATGAGCAGAACAAAATAGTTAAGAGAAGGAACCATTTTCTGGAGACATACACACCTGCTTAAGAAGTTCAGTTACAGCAGAAAGCAGTCCCATTATGTGTGGCTGAACAATCTCTGGGCTTGACTCTGGTAAGAGCTGGGAGAGAGCTCGGCAAGCACCAATTATTACAGGTGAACGGCTGTAAAAATTGAAATGTTCTTGATAGTCGAGTACTAATGTAAATGTTATATAATACTCAATTTATTGGTATAGATGCGACTATCTAGTCAATAAATGATGAAAACTTACCTATCTGAAGCAATTGCTTTCATAGCAGCATAGAGATACTGTTCATGAATCCTACGGCCAACCTGCCCATTGTAAAGCAAATAATTAACTAGAAAATTTCAAAGAGATATTTGAAATTCTAAAAGGCCAAAGAACAGGCATTATTTACCACAGAGGAAAACTTGGCAACAGCCCAAAAAGCACGTGCATGAAGAAAAGGATACTCATGCGCCCCTGCAGTGACAGCAAAAGATATAACTAAGTAATATTTATTACGTATATTTTTTCGTACATCGCCAACAAATACAGCAATAGAAGAATGCCATACTTATCTGGACATCTTCAGTAAGAATATGCTCTAAAAGATCTTTAAAGCCGAGAGTCACTCCATCAACCTAGCAAGAATAAACCATGTAGAAAAATGTTAGACTACCGAAGTTTCAAGGAATTGAAATTATTTAATCCTGTATATTACAATACCAGAAGAAAGCACAAGATTGCATTTCATAATTCGTCGGATACAGATTATAATTGGACTCTGAGCAAAAGAATACAGACAAACCTGTTCTCCATGAAATGACTCTGAAAGAGAACCTAAAGCAAAAATAGCTGCCTCCCTCAACTGCCATCAATGAATGTTAGAAAGTGTGTAAGTCCAACAGGATATTCAAGTGAAGACCATTAGGATATGAAAGAAATATAACAACAGTAGAGCAAAAATTGAATAATGAAAGAACCAGAAAAACCATCATCTTAAAAAATGATGATCAAATATAAATGTCAGATTGTTTGCAACCTATCAGACAGCCATGCCCCTCAAATCCACTGGCATGAACAAATCAGAAAGTCAATGAGTGCAGTAGGCAGTACACATACACGCATATGCCAAAGTAAAAAAATTCAGAAAGCTCCCAGAAAGTGCCCCCAGCCAATCCATCTGGAAAGAACAACAACGGTCAAAAAAAAAAATTGACAGCAAACCCAAGCTGACCAGACTCAGGCAATTTGAGCAGCCAAAAGCTCTCACTACTTCTAACCAGTTTTGAGACATCTTCAGCTGGGTCTAGATGAATATTTGGAGCAGACCAACCAAAGCAACTAATGATATCCCTTTCTATTACTTCATCCAGCACAGATTTGTGGGCAGGGCATCATGCATATAGATATAAAACTAGGTTAACAGGTTGAATGTGGAACATATATGGGCACAGGAAAGGAAGCATAAGAACTAAAACATGCACATGCATATCACTGATATGGTGCATGCTAACACAAATGCACACGCCCAGATTGATGTGTTGATTTCTTTTTCTAAAGTCCAATGGAGCATTATTCATTGACTCTGTGGTCATGAAACATATGCCGTAGCCGTTTTCCTACATTTTAATTACATTGTAAACTTCCTTTCAGGCACATAGTCATTTGCCCTGTACTTGGTACAAACCAAAGTTTTGATCTAGTATCTTTCATATGCTTAATCAGAACATATCTAGATAGAGACTAATCCTGTCCACCAGGAACTGGAGCACGGTTTAAAACTTCACCACCACCCAAGTATCAATGAAGGGTTTCATTCATTCACTGTATTAGCAGATATTGTCGTACAGTACGTCTATTATATAACTCAATGAGTTGGCCAAGACAACTAGTCTCGGCACAAGTTTTAAAGAAAAGTAATTGCAAGAGTTTCAGAACTCAGGTTTCAACTAAACTGGCCTTTATAAGATTCAATCCACTGGTCTGACCAGTCGATAACATGTAAGCCTTAAGTTCTTAATTTAATTTCAAGAGATATTTAATTAAAACTCAAATCAGTAAACTCAGGACTTGGTAAGTTTATTCAGCTAGGGAGCAAACCAAATCCCAAGGATCCTCCAATAAATGTTATCAGAATCAGATCAGTTATTGAACCTGTGAGGGCACCGATCTGGTTCAAACCAGCCAGTCCATCACTCAGATGGCCTGAAAAAAATGCATAAAAACAGAAGATGTGCCAAAAGGAGCTAGCTCACCAGTCAAGAGAAGTCGGGAAAAATTCAAGAAACCAAAAAATGTTAAAAAAATTGGTCCGAACCCGTCAAATCCAGGCTGAACCAAAACGTTCGCACTGGTCCAATTGGTTAACCTGCCAGTTCAAACCGGCTTTGACCTTTTTAGACCGATTTGAACTGGTTCTAACCAGTTGAGATTCATAAATTAGACCCGACAGGTTCCAGCTCCCATTCATAGTCCAATGACGTCAAAATTGAACACTTTGATTACTAAACTTAGAATAAAACGAGCAAATTCATGTATGTGTATGAGGGCAACATAACATAATTCACAATAGCATAATTCTCCTTCCAAAAAAGATCAAATTTCATTTATCAAAGAAACTTCCTAGAAAGGAAAATTCAGCCCTCTTTTAAATCACATGGATAATCAAAATAACCACATCTATCCTCTTAGCAAGGATAATATACTCAATATGGTTCAAGCAAGAACCCTAGTCCGGCAGAAAATGAAACATACAAGTCCAGGTATCCAAGTCGCTGGTACCCTCTGGAGTTGGATAGCTGCCACAGCTGCAAGCCTAAACAACTGATGTTTCACTTCTATACCCTAAAAATAAGTTAGATACAAAATCATTTCCATATAGGTATATTGGAGATCATTCCCACATAGGATACAAAAACATTTCTTCATACGTACTTAAAAGGAAAAGTAAAGGTACACCTACATTTCATGTTTTTCCCTCTGGTGCATTCTTTGACCACATAATGAACACCCTAGGACACGCATTGCTTCCCAATCTTGTTGAAAGAAAGCTACAAATGTAGGATAACCATAGAAAGGAAATAGATTTTCATTCACCAGTTACTTTGGGTATGTAAAGTGCAAAACAAAGCAATTAGTAATATTATATATATATATATATATAGGAAAAAGCTTAAAAACGCCTATAGGAGAAAATGAATAGTGTTCGCCACCGTCACGAATTGGTCTTTACTGAGCTCTGGAGGTGGTTTGAAGACTGAATTGGTCTTTACTGAGTATATATATATATATATATATATATATATAAACTACTAGCTACCAGCCATACACTAACCTACTTGCTTGCCTTAGCTACTAGCTTGAACCTACTAAACCTAAACTAAACTTAACTCAACCTACAACGAGTTCAGTCGTTAAGCTACTTGAGAATCCAATCGTTAAGCATATAGAGTTGAGTAAACTTTTGTTTAGAAGACTATTTAGATCAGAGACTAATCGACTTTTATCATCGCCATCGTCGTCATCCAAGCCTTATCCCAATCATTTGGAATCGATTACATGAATCATGTTCCCCATTCTTCTTTATCACGGGCCATACCCTCAGTAAAACCAAAAGTCACCATATATTTTCTCACTACCTCTATCCATGTCTTTTTGGGCCTTTCTCTTACCCTTTTAGAGCCTTCCATTTAAACCAAATTGTACCACCTAACCGGTGTTGTATTAGGTCTATGCTACACATGGCCAGCTCACCTAAGTCTACTTTCTCTTATCTCATCGCCTGTTGAAACCACACCTAAGTTTCCTCATATGCATTCGTTTTGAATTCTATTATTTCTTGTCTTGTCACCGATCTATCGCAACATCCTCTTTTTAGTTATGCACATCCTATGGATATGTTGTTTCTTGATCACCCAACATTATATCCTATAAAGCATGCCTGGACTTACAGCCATCGTAGGAAACTTCGCCTTCAGTTTCAAAAGTATGCAGCAATCACATAAAACTCCAGATGCACTTCTCCACTTCGCCCACCCAGCTCTAAATCTATGTGCGGCATCTTCCTCAATCTCTCCAATCTCCTGGATTATCGACTCTAGACATTGAAAACAATCTCTTTTAAGTACTTCATGACCATCTATCTTAACTACTTTCTTGTTCTACTCCTATTATTACTAAATTTACATTTCATATATTGTCTTAGTGAGACTAATTTTAAAAGTTTTAGATTCTAGAGCATCCTTCTGACATTCTAACTTTGCGTTGACGTCGTTTTTAGTCTCATGGATCAAAACTAGGCATAGTTTTAAAAACCTGACCGCCCAGTGCCTAGGCGGTCCAGAATCGCCCAGGCCTTGGAAGCCAAACTAGGCAGATATCCCTAGGCACCCAGGAACCCGCCTAAACGCGCCCTTGAACCCGCCTAGGCGCCCGGCGGAAATGCGGCTCCTTGAGGGTATTTTTGTGTCATTTTTTAAATACTAAAAGGGCAAAATTGTGGGTTTTAGGTTTATTTGAAATCTAAAACTCATTAGAGGCTATTTAAAAGAAAGAAAAACCAAAAAAAAAAAAAATTACTAGGCCCACCAAGTTCTGGGCACTTGCCTAGGCGATGGGCGGCCTGGACCCCCCCGACCGCCTAGGTGTTACCTACCGCTTATTAAAACATTGAAACTATGTCATCCGCAAGGAACATAAACCACGGTACCTTATCTTGTACATAGTTGTTAACTCATCCATAACCAAACCAAAGAGATATGAGCTCAGTGCTGACCCCTGATGTAGGCCCATTATCACTGAGAATTCACTTTTCTCTACTAGTTGTCTGCACACTAGCTAACGCTTCCTCGTACATATCTCAAATATATATAGAGAGAGAGAAAGAGAGTGTGTGTGTATGATTTCATGCAACAGATCTATAGTAATGTAATGAAATAATCTTCAAAAACTATGTTAGTGCTACTTGCTTGACCACAATTTGGACGCTGCCAGCCCGCATATTATAGCAGGGCTTAGCAATAAATATATTTTTTAAATATAATTTGATCCTAATTTTCAGAGAATATATAATCTTTAATATGGAGATCATGAATAATTAAAAAAAAAAAAAAAAAATTGAAAACTAGAAATAAAAATTACATTAAGAAAACATTTAGACCATTAGTTATAATTGTTTTAGACCACGTATTTTCATCCATGACAGATGCTTTATACCTCCGGACCGCATATTGTAGAAATGCAGTCTAGCCCCGCATTTTTTAAATATATATTACACTCTTTTCATTCCAATGAACAATCACAAAAGGCAAAATTTGAAAACAGGCCCGAAAAAAGTGTTTTTTAGCACATTTTATATGCTTAGATCTAAGCCTTAGAAGTATTTTATTTCCTATCCAAATTTTTTTGATAGTTTTATTATCATTAGATTAACAATGTTAAAAAGAAAATATCGATTTGGAATTTGTAAACGCCTAGATATTGAAATTTACCAAATTGATGGTCTAGATTCATTATTGGAGGGGACCGATTTTGACCACATCTAGACCTCAAAATGATCTGTAGTTTATTGAGAAATTATAAAAAATAACCCTTTTTTTCAAAAAAATTGAAAAAGACCCAATGTTTTAAAAACCTCATTCATGCCAAAAAAATTTTTACTGTTCATTTGTTTGTGCCTCAAATGCCCTTCAAGATGATGGTCATCATGGGCCAAATAAGTCAATGATAGCACAGCTTCATCAAGAGGCTATCAAGGTTCCATTCGAACCATGATGGTTCACATAAGTTAAAAGGGTGCGGTTTCTATAAGGATGCAACCATAAACAATCCAATTAAGGCGCACCTTAAAAATTTATCATCACATGTAATTTTTTTATAAAAAATTCTTAGTATTATCTTAAAATCTATTTTCATACCTAATTAGAAATTTTTAAATTCCAAAAGTAGTTAAAATCAAGTAGATCTATAAATATATGAAAATCTTGAAAATGGACGGTCTAGACAATGTATTGCAAGATGCACTATTTCCAGGACTCAAAAACTTTTTTTTTCAAATTCATACATCTCAATGTCGAGATGATCGATTAGAGGGTTTTTTCAACATTAAAACAACATTTCCGATAGATTTTTGAGGTGCATATGTGATTCTACATTTTAAGGTTGCAACCTTATATAAACTTTTCCCTAAGTTAAAAGACCATCACAGCTCTCTTAGAACAATGATGGTTCCCATTTGTTAAAAGGCCACCATGGTTCTCTTAGAATCATGATGGTTCTAATGAGTTTAAAACTTCACAGCAGTACACATTTAGAAAGTGGATTTATGCGCATCATGGACCTATTTGGCTCGTGATGACTTTCACGGTCCTAATAAAAATATTGGGTAGAGATGAGGTTCTTGAAAAAATTGGGGCTCTTCAGAATTTTTCAAAGAAAATGGATATTTTTGAAAATTTCCCCCTTATTGGGATGAAGAGAGTGTGTGTACAAAATTTGGGGTCATATAAATGCAACAAACATTATTTTCTAGAAGTGTGGTTTCATTAGATTACAATCAAAATGGTGACATGATATATATAGATACACAGTTCTCTTAGAACGATGATGATTCCCATGTGTTAAAAGGCCAACATGGTTTGATATATATATATATACACTTCTCTTAGAACGATGATGATTCCCATGTGTTAAAAGGCCAACATGGTTCTCTTAGAACCGTGATTGTTCTCAAGAGTTTAAACTTCACAGCAGTAGACATTTAGCAAGTGGTTTACTTTTCTTGGGGAAATATTTACACACCAACCAAACGTGGAGTTTTTCAGATTAATTGTTTTAAACGCTGTAACTGTGAATGTTTATCTATCGTATGGCCCACTTGGGTCCATTATGAGCCTCTCTCGCTATATATCTCTCTATCTTGTATTCATCTCTTTCTCTCTCCCTACATCTCTTGCATTCATCTCGGTGAAAGGTATAGCAATGCGATCTGATGGCGCAAATAAAATGAAATTCAGACCTATCGCAGATGTTGTTGCTTCACCATAAAATACGTCTTTATGAGTAATCTATTGCATCAAATTTAGGGTGTTGTTAGAAATGACATTGCAAACTCGGTATTGCAAACTCTGTAATTTTGAAATGTCACGTCATTTGGACAAACACTAAAAAAAAGGATTCAATTATCACATCATTGGAAAATAGTTTCTTTTTTGAAATAATTCATAAAAAATTTGGAATCTCCAGAAAAAACATATTCCAGGAAATCCAAACAGTGAAATTGCATCTTTCTGGTCTCTACCAGATGCTATTCAAACAGCACATGCCCATATTTCAGGAAATGCCAATTCCAATAAATACCAATTCTAAGATACACATTTCCACAGGATTGAAAAGCTAGGAAACCAAATGTGCCCTTAGGTTCTTTTAGGGCATGCCACAAGGCACGACTCTCTTAAGCTTTTTAGGGTAGGGCTTGCCTCCCTCTATGAGCCCTAGGTAGTGTGTGCCATCTCCTTAGGGCTACTAAGGTGATGCATGCCACGTAATGAGAGAGACTAGAGAGAGATGAGATAGTAGAGAGAGAGAGAGAGAGAGAGAGAGAGAGAGAGAGAGAGAGAGAGAGAGAGAGAGACTATGAAATAAGATGGATAGAATGAGGAGAGCCACTCTCTATTTATAGCTTTTAAGGGGTCTAGGGTATGCCTATCTGAATTAGAATTCTACTTGGTTATAGGACTGCTAAGTTATCTGTGAGGTGTGAGATAAACAAATACGAGCCATCTATCCCAAAAATCAGTCATTATGATTTAGGGATGCATCTCATCCTTTGAATCTTTGAATCTCATCAACTTCTATCTAGACTAGAACTAGGTCTTCCATAATCCCATAAAATTTGAACTCTTATTCACGTAGAAATAAAACTTATAATTACTATAGAAATTAAAAGTCAAAATAGAAGAACTAATTAAAAACTGCTTTGGTGAAAACATAAGTAACCAAATCAAATAACATCTTTTTGAAAGATTTTTTTTTTTTTGGGATGAAGTTAACATTAACATCTTTTTAAAACATTATTAACATTACTCAATCCTTAACAATTAAAGAAATGACAAGGGCACCCCTCACTAGGCTGGGATGTGTGGGCCATGTGCCCACACATCCCACACATGTAGGGCCCCAATGTGTGGGGTTGGGCCCTTGATGCCCACATGGGTCTCACAATGCCCCTGGAACTTTTAGAAATTACAACACTGTCCTTTTTAGAGTTTTAAGCAATAAATTAATTTTAGAAAAACACATAGTCATAGATAAGGTTGAAAAACAATATTTCTAAAGTTAAAAAAAAACAAAAAAAAACATAGAACACTTAGAAATACATCTATAAGTGGATTGGTATCACTGGGTCAAGAAAAAGTGACTGTCAGGGCACGAGCCCTCCATCCATGCCAGTAACCGTGATCCCAAAGCTATCTTCTCAAACCAACCCAACGAAAGCCATAACCCATAATCTCATGCAAAGGCCCATGATTGGCTCGTCAAAACGGGGTCAATAAATAGCAGATCCACAATTTCGAAGAATGTGGATTACGGATTCCCCCCCTTAAGGGCACGTCACACGCACATATCACTATGATGCAAGGGGAACTCTCTCTATTCACATATCCCTTTGTAGGGTTGCTTCTTAGAATGCGATTATAATATATACATGCTATGCAAAAGTTTGTTTTGGATTTTGCCCTTGCACTCACTGGCCTACAAATGTGCGCATGAGACTACAAAGCTCTATTGGCCTTCAAACCATCCTTAGGCATCTCTCCGACCTCAATAAAAGATGACCCTCTTGAAACCCTCAATGGTAGTGCTTATGCCTAGAGAAACAGGTTTCAATTATGACCAGGGCTATAGACCGCCCAACCCTTGTCAGTCAACCAACACAGTCCCACTAAAGTATGTAATCCACTATAATTGTTTTCCTTTCTCTAGAACTAAAACCCTGAAAGAATGGTAAACATCTGGTTTGCTTGGCTCTTACCGAGGCCTTAAAGAGAGAAACGGGTCTTAGAGGAGAATTTGTGGGAATATGGGTTTTTGTCCATGAGTTTGTCAATTAAGAAGAAAAATAGGTTCATGAGGAATTCAGCCCCCTCATTTTGCTGTCCAATAGTAATTATGTGAACAATTTTCAGTTTATGAACATGTAAATATGGTTCTACCACAAAGTCTTTGCAAATATGTACTGATGCAGTAATATGCTTATAATGCAATAAGTATGGTAAAACATCTCAGTCTAGGCAACTCACCTTCCACCAATCTGCAGCACCAGAAGCCTTAGCTTCAGAAGACTCCCTTGATCGCTTTTGCACAGCTTCTAATATGGCCTTTATCCCTTCTTCCTCATATGCATTAACAACTTCTTCTAACAATAAGATCCCTGATAGGAAATAACTAAGTCCATTAGCACACAAGTTCCCGAAACGCAGACGCTTTCCAAAAAGGACTAAAAGCAAACATGCAACAAATTGTAAAACAAAAACCATCAACTAAGTCTGAATAAATTGATATGACATATGCTGCACAACATGACATTACATCATAGAAATTTACCAGTGAACTTTTAACTCTTCGAAAGTATTCAAGTATAAAATTCCAAGCATTCCTTAACGGGGATACTGATTTAGCAAAAGAAATATGTGACAAGTTGTTTATAAAGACTGCTCAAACCACTTGAAATTACAAAAGAGAACAAAAAAGCACTGTATATTTCGAAAGTTAAAGAGTGCAATAGATGAAGCTCCATGCATTCCTCAAAAGAGGATACAGATTTAGCAACACAAATACGTTAAAAAATAAGGACCGCTCACACATCGTGAAAAAAAAATTCCATATTTCTAAAGTAATTTTCTACATAAAGGGGAAGTTGAATGAATCATCAAAGCATACCATCATGCCAAGACATTAATGTTTCATGCAAACATTTATAAATATTTCATTTATTGATTGATATATCTGGAAATTTGGAGAGTAGGCATTTTTGCATTTTGCTGCTGAACATTTTACATTTGATGAAATTACTTTAGCACTAATAAATTATGAGACTGAAGGAATGTAAAGAAAACAGGAGAAATAGTTAACTGACACAACAGTAATGACATACCTGTGATGCCTAAATTAGGTTCCAGTTGAGAAAAATATTCCCCACTGGATGGAACCCAAGGGGGTATGCAAGGATTCCATCTCTGAACAATGGTGTTGTGCCCTTTGTTCCTTGACAGGGAAAAAATGGTCTAAACCCAACAAACTCTTTTTCTTCGGAAATGATCCAATAAAACGCAACTCCACATGATCCATGAAGGATACCCATTATCAGATGATCACCGTTAGATGCTGGTGATGGCCCACAGCATCATCTGACGAATATGGTGGACCTTTGAGCAGAGTGCCAAACAGTTACAAACCATTACCACCATGTGTGTATGGCAATAGGGATGGTGGTTACTGAGATCCCAAATCAATTGCGTGGTACCAAGTCTCACAAGTACAAACACAATAACGCATACACTTCTACTTATCAGACATACTGCATACCATTTATAAGCAGCGGGCCATACAATATTGTGATGCTACTAAAGACACATGGGTCGTTTGGCTCCCTAAGTAAGCAAACCAGGTTTGAATCATAATCTGATTATGTCAAACTTTGGTATTGGGACAGGACTGTTTCGATAGCTGCTAAATGGAACCTAGGTTACGCAAATTCCTTGTTCGGGTCATCTGTTTGAATAACTTGGTTTGCATATTTATTATTTACTCTAATTTATTGAGTACATTATCAAATATTATTTTAAAATTATTATTATTAGTAATAGTAGTAGTGATAATAATAATAATAATAACATAATAACATGAAAAGTTTTAGCAAAACTTTATGTTGGCTGCCTACCTAAGGCAACCCACCTCCTCTACCAAGGCTTGAGAAGGGTTAAGGGAACTCCTTTACCAGGGTTTGAGATGGGTTAAAGAAAAGTTTAAGGTCCTCACCCTTCTTGTAGCCGACCCCAAATAGTTGGGAAAAATTCTGATAATGATGATGATAACAACAACAATAGTAATATTGTAATAATAATATTATAAATATGTACTACAATAGTCTATTATGAGTTTTAATACTAATATTATTCAAATTTATAATAATATAATAAGAATCTAATAATATTTAATTTATTTATTATTATATGCTATTATTAGCTGACCCAATTAGTTGGAAAATACTCTGACGATGATGATGATGATGTGCTATTATTATTTGTTCATAATCAATAAAAATGGAGAGATTGAAGAAGATGTCGCGCATAGAATTGGAGTTAGGTGGGTGAACTGGAGATGTGCATCTGGAGTTTTATGTGATCGCCGATTACCAATGAAGCTGAAGGGGAAGCTCTATAGAATAGTTGTGAGACCAGCTTTGATTTATGGGGCAGAATGTTGAGCGATCAAGAAATAACATACCCATAAGATGAGTATAGTTGAGATGGATATTGAGATGGATGAGTGGCAAAACAAGAAATGATAGAATTTGAAATGAATACATTAGGGAGAACTTAGGTGTGGCTCCAATAGGCGATAAGATGAGAGAAAGTAGATATAGCTAGGCTGGCCATGTACAACGTAGAACCAGTACATCACGTGGTAGGAGGTAGGTGTTGGTTCAAGTGGAAGGCTCTAAAAGGGTAAAGGGTTGGCCCAAAAAGAAATGGTTAGAAGTAGTGAGAAAAAATATGGGGACTTATGGCCTCACTAAGGGCATGGTCCTTGATAAAGCAAAAAAGCAGACCACGATTCGTATAGCCAACCCCAAAATAGTTGGGAAAAGGCTCTGATGATGATGAAATGCTATTATTATTCAATACATTAATTACTATTAATTTTGTTATTACTAATATTATTAATATTTATTATTTTGGTAATAGTATTAATATAAGGGATTGTATACTATGAGACCATTTACCTTTTATACAAAGAGGTCACAATTACTAACAACCATCCGATGTGAAATCTGATAGCTTAGATGTGTCACAAAGTTCAAAAAAAATTCTTTTGAACTTTGAGCTTGGTGAATGTAATAAATGTAGCCACTAATTTCACATCCAATGGTCAAGATTAATTGTGACCACCTTGTACCAAAGATAAATGGTCTCATTGTATACTTTTCTCTAATATTATATATAGTTATTATATATATACTAGTATAAGTGCAAAACGAGGAATTAATTAAGATTGATGACCAAGAAATACCTAAAAGATATTACTTTTGATATCTTTCGTCAATTATCCATAAGAAAGAAGAGATTGAGGAAGATGTTGCTCACAGAATTAAATCTAAGCAGATGAAGTGGAGATGTGCTTTTGGAATCTATGTGATCGTCACATACCAATGAAATTGAAAGGGAAGTTTCTTTTTTTCTTTTTTTCTTGATAATGAAATTGAAGGGGAAGTTCAATACAACAAGAAGGGTAGATCAGATTAATTTCGGGCTGGGTCGGCGTCGAAACATAGTGGCCCCCCTCTTTTTTTCTCTCTCAAAAACTCTCTTTACCGAAGCCCTCCCTCCCTGCATGGCCCACATACTTGTCTGTCTCCCCCCCCCCCCTCCCTCTCTCTCTTTCTCTTCCTCTCTCTCTTACTCACACACACACACACCGCATGGCCCCACATACTTATCTGTAAGCACATGTTCTTGAGGATGGCTAGGCAGATCATATGTGATTTATAACAAAACACTTTAAGAACAATTACCAACGTCATCATCATAAATCACCACCACCAGCACCGTTATTCTTACCATTACTCCTACTGCAGCTACTACTACTATTGTCGTTGTTGTTGCTATTACCATTATGAACATATACCATTTGTGTCATGGAGGCACTATCCTCAACCTTCTGAATCATAGGTACGCATTATCACATGAAACACATCCAGCATGACCTTATTTTCTTATAAATGGTTACTGAGACTAGATTTTATATAAAATAAAATTACTAAGATGCACATTTTCAACCGAACGAAAATGACATGCAAAACACAATAAGAGTGTGTTTATCAAAGAAAAATGTACATTCTCTCTCTCTCTCGCAACCCTCTCTCTTTCTCTCTCTCTAGAAAACCCTACCTCAAAGCCATGATGCAGTGTGTTGGAGGAGAAAGAGAGGCAGTGGCGTCTCGAAATTAGGGGCAATTGCCATCATCGTGCAACCTTTGGTTAACGATGGTCCCTTTCCTCGAATCCATTGCTTTTGAGAGCATGAGAAGGCAGGCACTTGGGTGAGACTTGAACACACTCTTCACTGCGAAACAGAGCCTACATGAATAACTGAAGAAACCCCTTGCTCTTGCAGAGAACTGCTTAGTGAGAGGCCTGGACTCGAGAATCCTGAACCTGGACCTGTTTCTTTTGAACCATCTCATCCTGTTATCTAAAGTGGTGTTTAATAGGGGAACTAAAGGGTTCTCATTCTTCTCTTTCGTTACCAAAAGCTTGAAACTCTGATGGGTTTCAAGCTCTTTAGAGAGATGGGTTTCTTCTTCCTTGAGCAAATACATGAGTGAAACTGTTCTTGGCCCCCTGACCACGTTTTCTGGGGAGAAATAGACATTTTCCAACGTGGGTTTTGCCAGAAAAGTGAGATGGAGGCAAAAGATGGTGGCCTCATTGCAGACCGAGAGTACGAGAGCTGCTAAACGAAAGGTGGGTAAGAAGAAGAGAGAGAAAGCTATTAGTGAAGAAGTAGTGATCTTTTGAAGGATCACATGAAGGGGTTTTGAGCACAACCACTATGACTGACTGCTCTCATCTTCTCAAAGAGAGAGAGAGGAAGGCAGGCAGAACCAAGTGGGCTGCCATTTAACGGTGAGGCAAAATCAAAATGCATTTCACTTTTTAGAGAGAGAAAACGAAATAAGAAATTTCAAGAGTTTAGAGAGAAAGGGAGGCAGTTGCAGAAGAAACTGCCCCTCAAAAAAGACAGATGTGGTGTGTTGGAGAGAGAGATGGTAGGTGGTTGTAGGGAGATAGAGAGAGAGGGGGAGAGAGAGAGAGAAGAGGCGATAGTGGTTCTTTTTTTTGGGGAGGAGGGGAGATAGAGAAGAGCCAGTGGTGGTTGGGAGAGAAGAGGAGGGAGCAGGTGGTTGGGAGAGGACGAGAGAGAAGAGGCGGTAAGTGGTTAAGGGAGAGAGAGAGAGAGGAAAGAGGTGGGTAAAAGGAGAGAGAATCGGTGGGTGGTTGGGGTAGGAAGAGAGAGAAACGTGCCCTCTCTCTCTCTCTTTCCCTAGTCACGTGCCCCATCCCCAATTTTTCTTCCCCCAAATGGCATATTCTTTTCTAAGGTAAGAAAGGACAGGCTCGGCCCAAGCTACCCCAAAGATTTTCGAGCCAGGCTCAGGTCAGACCTGAAACTTATTTTTCCATACCAGAACAGGTCCGCCAGTCTCAAGCTTATTCGGGATCGGGCTCGAGCCCGCCCTAGTCCGGCCCGGTGGCAGCCCTAACTCACCCCAAAAGTCTTCTAATAACCTCATTAGCACCTTAAAAATGATTGTAATAAAATGGGGTAAGCTTTCGGATGATCCTTCAAACCTCACAAAATTTTCTCAGTTCGAAAAACTTTGAAGAAAAAGGATCAATTCAACTATCCTGACATGATCTCTTTTTCCTTTTTCATTATTGACAATGCAAAACAATGTTTAATTCCTTGCCTCATTAATCCTACAATAGTGACCAGGTTACTGCTCTTCAGGAAGCTGGCTTTTGAACGTAAGAAAAGCAACACACAAGATAACAACACAACTATCTAGCGCCAGTACATTTCATTTTTTTTTGGTTCAGCCACAAGGATAATTCTCAACTTCTCATTTCATTTTCTAACAACTAATTTCCAGTAAACACTCATACGATAAATGAATTTCGATGGATAATCATTAATCAACACCAAATAAATCATTAGCCAAAAAGAAAGTATTACTGAAGAAAACATTCAGGCAAGCAGATCAAGTAAGGAACCAAAATGCTCGATGAGTAGGTTCACGTTCACCACAACCTACAATTAGGCTGTGACTTGCCGCTAGAGAGCGGCAAAACTCTTATTTCTGAAGGTCTCAAATGATCTTGTGGATCAAATGTACTTTACACCAAAAATAAGAAAAACACAAGATATGTGACTCATAACAATTTGGTGAAACAAGACATCCAGAAACATAAAGCAAATAGAAGAGGTACGTCATGTTAAGCTGCTTCACAAAGGGAAGTCAACCCACAATATGGACAGCAAGTAACTACCTGAGACACGACAACTATACGTAACATCATCCTCATCAGCAACATATTGGTTGGCATCTGAAGACCAAGTTTGCACCTGCAAGAGAAGGAAAAAAAAGCAATCAAAGTAACAATCATAATGTCTGTAATAGATATAACGAAACTAGAGAATACACTCATAAAAATATGGATACTAGTCATGAGAATTGGAAATGCTCAAGACTACAGTCAATTGAATAATACCACCACATACTGCAAGAAAATGGAGGGATTGAGGAAGATGTCGCACATAGAATTCGGGCTAGGTGGGCAAAGTCGAGCGATGCAACAGGAGTTTTATGTGATAGCCGCATACCAAGAAAGCTACAGGGGAAATTCTACAGGACAGTTGTGAGACCAGCATCGCTTTATGGGGCGGAATACTGGACGACCAAGAAACAACATATCCATAGGATGATGTAGCTTAGATGAGAATGTTGAGATGGATGAGTGACAAGATAAGAAGGGATAGAATTTGTTGTCGTTAGTGCTTATAGTTAGTGTAGTCTTGAGTACGGGTACCCATTAGTAAATGAATACATTCGGGAGAACATAGGCGTGGCTCTAAGAGGCGATGACATAAGAAAAAGTAGACTTAGGTGGGCTAGCCATATGCAGCGCAAATCCAATATAGCACTTGTTAGGAGGTACAAGTTGGTTCAACTCAAAAAAGATAAAAAGTAAGCTCAAAAGGACATGGTTGGAAGTAGTGAGAAAAGATATGGAGCCTTATGGCCTCACTAAGGGTATGGCCCTTAATAGAGCAAAATGGCAGACCAGGATTTGTATAGCCGACCCCAAATAGTAAGGCAAAAGGCTCTGACGTTGATGATGATAACAAAAATGAGAACAACACAGGCATTCGATTCACTATTATTAAACTTCTACATTGACATAGGATCCAAGTGACCTTGGCTTCTACACGAGTGTAGCATGGTTTAGAGGGATCTAATTGGTTATTAGGGTTAGGAATTTTTCAGTTGAATTGTGGGCAGCAAGGATAGGGTTTTGGTATTATTTAGCCTTAGGTTTTGATAATGATTGAAATAAGTTCATGTTCAGGGTGCTGAAATGATGAAGACAAGGCAGCTTATAAAATTGGCAGGATATAGAGATATTAAGAGAGTTGGTGAACAAAGGACAGGGGGTTTGGGTGAAGAACAGGCCTAGTCTTTTATATAGTATCACACCAACACAAATTCTAGGGTTTGTGGCATCACACCACAAAAAGGCCTAGAAGAATCACTCCTCTAGAGATGAAGGAAAGACTCCCTCAAAGATGGCTTCACACTAATATTAAAAAAATGAATTTTATTAATCAAACTTCAACTGAATTGGTGGCCTACACAGGCATTCATAGAGGTTGACCCTCTGTCTATTTAACTCACCTTGGGACTAAAGTTGTTTCTAACTCTCCTAGATTTTGGGAACTCAAGCTTCTTACAAAATTAGGCAACTAATTCCTTTGCAGTTTAAGAAAACTAGAACACAACAAAAGATCAAAGAATCTCTTCTAGAACTATTCAACAAAATTGGAAACTATATTCTAATTGCAAATTTGGAAAAACAAACATATAAACATTTAAAAAGGACACTAACATTCCAAATTAAATTAAACCCTAAACCTAATTAATACTATAATTTATACATAAGGCTTTTGATGATTTGGAGCTAGAAAAATCCAAACCAGATAAAAATTGCAGAGAAAGTAGTCTTAGATCTGGGAGAGATCCCAAGCTTCTCGCTCTGGAGACCACTTGAGCTGGGCCAAGTAAAGCTCAACTTCGACAGTTGCTCCCTTGGCAACCCTGCTTTTGATGGAATGGGGGGAATTTTCAGAGACTCCAATGGAACTACCCTTCTATCCTACTCCCATTTCATTGGAAACACCAACTCTACTGTGGCCAAAGTTCTAGCCCTTCTTGTGGGCCTCTGTAAATGTGTTCTGTCATGGAGTGAAACCCTCATCATCGAGGGTGATTCTGACAACGTCATAGCTTGGGCATCCAGATCATCCCCCTGCCCCTGGAGATTGGTACGCATCTTTGATGAGATCTTTTCGATCTCTGTAGGGACATACACGTGGTATGGCAGCAGACTTGGAGGGAGGCCAACACCGCAGCCGTCACCCATGCTAAAGAAGGCGCCTCATAGCAGAGCACCTAGGAGCCCCTTGAGCATCTTTTTAAGCTTTAATCATCTTTTGTCTTATCTTTTTGTAACTATGCTTGCATAGAATTTTTTGGGCCCCTAAGTGGTTTTTGTACACAAACACCTGTCATTTGGGTGCTTCATTTTTTGTATAACCACTTTAGCAACACAACAGTTAACATTCTCAAAAAAAAGATCTTCCATTTGACATTTGAAGCGTTCCAAACAGATATTCAAGTTGAAAATTATGCCCTTCATAAACTAACTGAATCGCACATGTTAAAGCACATCCTATTGGTTGATCTTACACTAAATGCATTATGTTACATGTACTAAATTACATGAACAATGATGCCAACCACACAAGTATGTATCAACCAGTTTTTAAAACTAAGTTGATTCAGGATTCAGCTCAACAACCCAATGTGGGTGCATATACAGCATACCATCCTCATGGTTTGGTTCACAATTGCCACTCTAATTAACAGGTTTAAAATCCCAAATTTGAGGTTGCAAATACTTTGTGGCCTATTATTGGAAAGACTACTTTGGATTTTTTATGAAAACAAAGCTTAGCCTCACGTGAGCCTCTATCTAAAGAGGAGAGAGAAATATTTCTTTCGTCCATACATAAGCATGCATCCCATAAAATAGGAAAATGATATACTTTTCTCTCTCTTGCAAGCAAGCACAATCCCTGGAAGACTGATATCTTCCGACAAAATCGTCAATCAAAAATACTAAGACATTTAAAAACTCCAACTCTTCTACAATCAAGGAGAGAGAATCTCCCTCTCTCTCTCTCTCTCTCTCAACACACACACATATGCACAATAATTAGGAGAGAAGTCTCTCTCTCTCATCCATGCAATAATTTTAAGAATTTCCCCTGGTCTCCAACAAAACAGCACAAAGCAGGAGGAACTTAGAAGTCCCACTTAGAGACAAGTCCATTTCTAGCAAATAAAAATGAACTTTCACATTTAAGGTCACCAATCATGGACTCAAAGAATTCCAAATTCATCCAAACCCATGCAGAAAATATTCCAAGAGAATCCAGATTCCAGAAGACCCTTGAATCTCTCTCCTATCGCAGAGAAGATAAGCTCCTCTCTCTCCAATCACGAGGTCCCCTCCTATAATTTTGCCCATTCTCTCTAAACACTTCCTTGGTGCCCAAAAGACATGTCTCTCTCTCTCTAGCCTACACTCAATTGTTAACAATAAACTAAGACCCTAAAATCTCTTATCAAGACACCTTGTCCTACGAATCTTCTAAAAGCCACAAACCACCTCCCTAGGCCCACATGACTCCCTATCTTTCCTACAACTCCTAAGCAACTAAACTATCATCTTAACCTCACAGGACACTATAAAAAGAGTCTTCTACCCTTGTTTCAAACATACATAAAAGCAAGTGAAAGAATTACACACCTAGAGAAAGAGAGAGCATCCGCATGTCAGAAACAAAGGTTTCTCCTTGAGAAAGTCCCCCTCTATCTAATTCCTCTTGTGTGTCCAGATGTTGCCTCCAAGATTTGTCCAAATCCCATCAAGGTACTTCCTACCTTCAATAGTTTAAGCCCTAGTCCTCCAGATTTTCCAAAAACCCATGAGGGATTCCAAAGTTCTACTAACATGCCCGCAGAAGTTCTACCAAATTCAAACAAAGTCCTTCAAAATCTTGTTGACAACTCTCTAAAAATCTTTTTTCTAGTCCAAAAATTCAAAATTTCCTTTTCCAAAACTAAATAATCCCAAAAATAATGTTTTTGGTCAAAAAACCCCAAATATCCATTTTCGTGTCGTCCATTCTTCTCGAGAAACCCTTTTCCATATTGAACCAAAATTTCAAAACGCCCTTCCAGTTGCATGGCCCCTTAAAGTAATTCGAATGACTTTGGACTATTTCCTCAAATCCTACCAAGGTGGTGACATTTTATTTCTCCAAATTCCTACACCAAGTTTTTTGGGATATTTTTGTGATTTTAAATGAGTGATTCTCCATATTTTTGCGAAACCTCCACTTGAGTTTTTCATGTGAAATAATACATGTGATATCATTCACATGGAGAATCACCCATGTGGAATCACTCATGAGAAGAGAATTCTCATGTGAGATAAACAAAGATGCCCCCCCGAGATAGAGATAATCTAGAGGTGCGTGATTATCTCATGCAGAGACTCTCTCTCTCTCTCTCTCTCTCTCTCTCTCTCTCTCTCTCTCTCTCTGTACTCTCTCTCTCTCTCTCTCTCTCTCTCTCTCTACTCTCTCTCTCTACTCTACTACTACTACGTACTACTACGTACTACGTACTACTACGTACTACGTACT